GAATTCTCACACTACTAACAGATCAACGAAAACGACTGCATCAATGAGACTGAGTTTTAAGCAAATTATGACATCCAATGGATGCAGAAAAGACATTTCACTCTATGACGAAACGAAAATAATGATAATGACGAATGAAATGAACAGCGATAATTGTCACTATTAGGTATTTTATGGTTCAGGGAACTAAGTGAATGAAGTTGATTGTTTTATATGACTTAATTTTAGCCAACAGCCTCGAGTTCGAGTCCTTTTTTATTCCTTTGCATTCCCAGTGGAACATAGGGATTCAAGCTAGTGGCTTGGAATTTCGGTAGCAGTGGCGTTTATTTTTAGGGGATGGGGTTGCTAGCCTTATGCCCAACATTCCCTCTTTACCAGCCTTATTGCTTGCCACATGCGTGGTTGGCGAGCATTCCACCACTGTGCCACCGACGCACGAGCTCGACTCCTGCTCCACCCAATTTAATCTGAGTCTAGATAGTATCAACAATCTTTACAAGATAAGCGTAAATCATAATATGCTACATAATCAGTGTGTTTTATCAAACGACATGAACAGTTTAATGGATTCTTAAGTGAAAGGTAGTGAGCTCGAATCCTATTCCGTCTTTCAGTAGACAACATTAGAGGAAATATTGTATTCTATTATTGAATTACATCCCTTTAACCAAGAGTGTGTTATTTAGGATCTATTTTTATTGTAATTAAAACCTATTTAACCAACAAATACATGAATCACTTTTGTGTGACAACTTTACAATCGATATTATTTTCTTAAAGTTTCTTCTACTAGGAATTTTCAACCTGACTGTGAATAAACAATGCAAGTTCACACCATCATTAGGAAATATATCTTCCTTATCAAAAAAAAATTATAACTAACAGTACCATATCATCAGTTGTAACACTAAGAAGTATGGAGTAAATATTTAGAATTTTCCCAATAGACAACAGAAAAATCCGCATAATTGTAATGTTTGCAGCGCTATTACTATGTAACTGTGGAATTTTTTTAGAAACTAGCATAACATCAAACTATTTTTGATGATTAAATTTACTTGCATTCAAGTTTAAACGGAAACCAAAAATATACTAAAAAATATATATCAAACTGGAGAATATTTGTCTATGTTCAACATTCAATAATACTAATAAAAATGCGCAACATTTATTTAATTATGCTACAGTAAAACAAAACCAATAAAATCGGATTCATCAAAACAACACGTTGAAAGAAAGGTAAATGATATCATGGAATAATCCGCAAAAAATAAATGCAATCAACTTAAATATCTATTATAAGATAGAAAAAAGAACACAAAAATTAAAGCAATGCCATAACACTTAAATATCCCACAAACACCAACTACTTCTTCTGAAGTAGATTTTTCACTTAATCACCAATTCATTATAAAACCACAGACAATGACTTATAAGATGTAAACAAGAAAGGATGAAAATTTTCAAGACTTGATTTGTAAGGATTTTGATTTGTTTCTCTAGTTAGACCACAGATTGATATCAGTTAGCCTATGAGTCCAAAACTAGGATGACCAAACAGCTGTCCAGTACTCCATGCTGGTTTTCAATGGTTCTCTAACTGATATCAATCCATAGTCAAACTCGAAAAACAAATCAAATCCTGAAAATGAATCTGGTACTTGCTAGTGACAGGCTACAGGATGGAGTTTCCTGGAGTTCTAGTCAGAAGTTGTGACCAGTGAGGTCCATCCAGTCAAGTTTGAAGATGGAGTTCCCACCGATGACATTGGTTGGTGGTCGCGCTAAAATCACGTATCGGTAGAAGTTAGAATTCATCGGTTGACCATTGAGTCGAGTCCCAGTAGCTGAATAGTCTACGAGCTAGCTCGCCTTGTTAGCCGAAGGTCCTGGGTTCGAAACTCAGTGGATGAAACAGCTGTTCAGTACTCTTCGGTATTCACTGGTTCTCTAAATAATATCAACCCACGGTCTAACTACAAGAATGAAAATGAAAAGCGTGCAGAACATTTTCTCCTCATTTCGATAAGTCAGAGAAGTATTGTAACTTCCACTGTCAAAACACATAGAGTCACTTTTGAAAGCATGAAAGTATGTTATATTATAAAAGCAGTACATTTTGGAGATAAACATACACAAATGTGTTTAGTGAATTCGCTTTTCACTCATAATTACACTTCGAGTAAGTTTACATTAAAATCTTAGTTTATACTAATATATTCAATAATTCCAATGAATTAATCATCATACCTGAAATTGTGAAACAGAATATGACAGATTAGGGTCAACGCACAAGCTTATGCAAGCTGGCATCTTCATCTGTTAGACAATATGACTGCTTGAAATTTAGTATTTAGAGTCTGATTCAAATTTGTGAACTATTGTTTAAAATTTGAATGTCCGGCCATTACTCCGCAACAGATGCATACCACCTGCATATCTTTTTCAAAGTAAAATCTTGGAAGTCTAGAAATTTAAAAGAATCAGTGTAACCTACTAACCTTCCACAGACTTCTATCTTGGACCACAGTGAAATCTTAAGCGCAAAAAATCAACGGCTACTCCATTTATCAAGTTGACTGAAAAGACTTCAACACAATCGAATTCTCCAATGATCGACATCGTTGATATCAGATTGGCATTTTGTCGGAAGTGTGTAAAGTTCTCAGTAAAATTCACAATAAGATTTTTGCTTTACTTTTCGAAACATAAAGATCGTTATCCTTGTTGTTTACACTTTTAATGACTCGCTTTATGTTGTTATTATACAAATTGCAGGGATCTGATTGGTTTCAGGATTTCATCATGAGTTGACATCAGTTAGAGAACCATTGAAAAACATGTTTCGTCCTCGTTTGGGACTCTTCAGCAGTATGCACCCACCGGGATTCGAACCCAGGATCTTCCAGTTACAAGGTCAACTCGTAGACTATTAAGCCACTGGGATTCGATTCAGTGACCCGTGAATTCTAACTTCTGCCAATTCACCGCTAGCCAATGTCTTAGGTGAGTATTTTGCCTTATACCCGACCTGCTGCACCCTACTGGTCACGACTTCTCACTGGGAGCTACCAGGTAGCTACCTACCTGAATAAAGTCAGTCACTAGTGAGCATTAGATTGATATTCAACTGTTGGTTTTCCGGGATTTGATTGGTGACTAAATGGTCTACAAGCTCATCTTGTGACTGGAAGGTCCTGGGTTCGAAACCCGGTGGATGCGTACTGATGAGGGGTCCCAAACTAGGACGAAACAGCTGTCGATTACTCCCAGGTTTTCCAATAATTCTCTAATTGATGGCAGATCATGAATGAAAAATATTGAGCTAATGATATAAATAAATACATACTGATTTTACCTAAGCAAATAAGCACAATATTTACAAGTGTAAAATAAAACCTGATTAAAAATTTCAAGCACAAAGTACACTGAACACCATATATACTAATAGTGAACTTCACTTGTGAAGTTAATGAGTAGGTGTACACAATTATGTTTAAAGTGCTTATATAGAACTTTAAATCGAAGATTTACTTCATACACTTCTAACCAGCTGAACCAACGATCTGATTAACAGTGTGAATATGTATACAGTAAGAAATAGTAATAGAATATGTATCCTTATGACTAAATAGTTAACGGGCTGACCTTGTGACCTGATGATTCTGGGTTCGATCCTCGGTGGGGTAATATATGTGCTCTACTGAAGAGCCCCTAAGTAGGATGAAATAGTTATCAAGTACTTCTTAGTTATCTAACCGATTGCACACTGTTAGTTCAATGGTACACACTCACCAGACAAATCTGAAACAGCCACGTAGTGCTTCTTACTTTACAATGCTCCCACACATAATTTAAATCCATAAATTGAAGGTTGTTCTTTGATTGAACCCTAAGTAGTAAGTAATTAGTGTCATGCGTCTAGTCCTGTGTTTGGTGCAGATTCAATTCTATCAGTCAAGTTTGCAATGTGGCCACCATGCTAGGTGGCTCACCACTACGTTGCACTTAGAAATGTTGTTATTAGATAGTTGGAGGCAGTTGGCAGGATGCCTTGGACTTAAGTTTCGTCCTCATTGGCACCCATCAACAAAGTGTATCTGGAACCTTGAAGGAATTCATGTGCCTTCTGAGATTCGAACTCGTGTCACTCAGTGTATGTATTTATGTCCATATTATTTACAATAATGTTTGCTGTCACAGAGAAACCTGAATTCCTTAAGTACAGCAGTCTCCAATATCAACGAGAAAATCTCCAGTTAGCATTCCTAAGTAATAAATGATTGGACGTGCGTACTTAACTCTTATAATATGAACAAATGAAACCCAGATTCTTATCAGTTTAAGAAACATAAGATGTACACACATCAATGTGGAAGATTTATACCAATTTTAGTCGAATTATTATTATGCTTGAAATTAGTAAAATAAAATACAGCAATTTTCCTAACAGAGAAAATTAGACATTTTAAATTACTAATACACGTGAAGAGTGGTCTTAATCAGAAAAAAAATTAGGGATTTTTGTGGGGATGTAAAAAATCTTCATATATATATATATAATTCCTTGAGAGCTAACTTCAGCTGGAAGTCTGACAGATTAATAGTGACTGATAAAATCTGGTGAACACTGGATGGTCGATTTCAAAACCAGTCGTTAACGATTGAGAAAATATGTAATTGAATTAAACACATACAAATGTCTCGTAGTAAAATTACTATTCTACATGGAATGTCATACGTTCGTGATCCCTGTTTTACCAGGCACGAATAAAAGTAATTTGACTTATTCGCTGACAGAAATCCATGGCTAAAAATAGGTTAACATCGTTAGATACCTCTTCTTTATAACGAAGTATATGACCAATCAAAAAATAGATTGGCCAGTTTTGTAACCAATAAGAATTCAGCAATGACACCGATCGAACATTTTATAACAAATTTATGCCTGATAGATTATGGCAAAACTCAGTTATCCAAACTTCAAATAAACTCACCAAATTTAAAAGAATTATTCAACAGCTGCTGTGAACAGTTAGTACAATCATTGTTTATGGAATTTGAAGGAGATGGAAAATTAGTTTGTGTGGAACAAGAGCGTGTAGCCACACTTTTACAACAGGCTAAACATACAGCTTTGTATAACAATTGTAAGCATATGAGAAACCCCAAAATACTAGTATTTCCGTATAACTGACTAATATGAAATGGAGCAGCAGATGAACACCATGTTGGACCGTAAAGCCAATAATCAGGCATATTAAGCCAACAAATTGTACATATCTGTAAATGAAATTTCTAAAAATTTAATTATTCGGTTAATTTTAACTTAATAATACTCAACTGACAATTTCAAATACAGTACATAAAATATCAAAACTTGTAACTGCTTAATAAATAAGTTATCAGAATAAAATTGGTGTTAGATTGCTTAGATTTGGATAAGTGGTGTCCTCACGGAGAGATATTAATTTTTAAGATTTCCCCGACCGATAGCTGCTACCTTGACGTAGTAGTCAAACTTGCATATCACAATGATCCAACGAGTTACACTGACTGGAAATGATGTGCCTAAAGGTCATGACATGCCAGAAAAGTCGTTTGAATTGTGGTAAGACAAAAAGTAGTTACCATCATAGCGTAAGTTGTTTACACTGTGTTGGGTGTCTGTGGGCTAAGTCGTACTGCTGTTCACCGAGGATATAACAGTAGTACGGTTCTTCTCTCAAACTGTCAGCAAGATAGCTATGCTGCCTTTCCGTTCTGGACATGGGGGTTAGAAAAGATTGATCACGAAGATTGCATATCTCGACTTACTTTGCAGTTAGTTCATAGCCGGCGGTAAGATCTTAATATGCACACGACTCCGGAAACCACTTCAAACACGTCGTGTACCAAAGATCTCAACCAGTTACCCCCTAAGCTCTGAGTTCACGTAACAATAATGCTCCTAATGCTTCATGTAATTCAAGGAATCAACTTCCATGCTGCGGGAAGCGGAGAAATAGTAACCTTTCACGCACTTCCATAAGCATAGAAAGCTTTCTTAATCACTACTCACTTTTGTCTCTGTCTCAGACTTTAAAATACAGTTCTGTATAAAATTATAAATTCGAAAGGTATTGATGACTTTATGTCCCAAACTCCAACAACCCTTCACAGAAAAGAATGATAAACATGAAGTTCTTACAAAGATATTTTAATATTATGTTAGTCATGTCATCGATGACAATACATTGGGACTTAGTCAAATAAACTTTGTTATAACCTTTGAGTAGAGATATAAAATGCTGATCCTATGACGTATGCTTTTTTCTAATGTATTGTTCAGATTTTGAAATGGTGATTGTAGGCTTAATCAATACACTCATTACATGAGTCTGATTCTCTGCAAAATCAATTTCATCTTCATCTACCTTAAACGTCACTTTTATTCATAATACCATATTTACAACAGAACTTTCAACAGATAATCACTTGTCAATATACTAAAACAGTAAACGAAAATATAAATAAAGAATTGTCGACTGCACGAAAGACAAATACAGAGGGTACTCACTTTATTTGAACCTGATGCAAAATGAGGGCAATTCATACACGCGCTGGTCCACAAAAGATTCGATCCATGAACTAAATGAATGTCATAACTATTGGATAAACTATTGGAAACAGCACCACTGGTACATATGTCATATTTTTCCGGAGACTTCTTTTCATAATGAAGGGGATAACCGTAGTGGTATGAAGTATTGTATACAGAAGAAAACTGGTTCATTTTTGTTTTCCTTGGTTGTACTAAAGTTGTTCTTTCTCTAAAGCTGGGCGTCGTTTTTGGGACACAACCAGTACGCTGTTTACACTCATCTAAATTGTCATTCCCGGTCTCATAGTTATTGTGCATAAACACCTACATTTGGAAAAATTGACATAGTAAGTAAGATGAGAACTAGTATATCTCACTTGCAGGACTTTATGCTGATGATAATGTGACAATAGCATTTAGTAATTTTAAACTAATGTTCAGTAGATGCCTAAAATCTACAAGTCAGTTGTGCTTTATATTTTAGTATTACGATTACTGAAACTTCAGTGGGAAGCATAAAATACTCAGGAGTTTAACATCATACAAATTTTTACACCAAATGATGCTACAAGACAAAAAACACTGGAACGTGACGTGATAAAATTATAAGAAGGACCGAGTCTGCAGAAAAATAAGTAACTAGTGCAGCAAAAACAGATGGAAAGTGATTAATAATAGATGATGGATAAGTCGCATACGGATCTGCACAATTTCGTATAACCTTCCTCTTCCTTACATGACATTGGTTAACTTTATGAAACAATACGACTTCTCTGTTTGCTAACTGCAATGTTATCTTTAATTTACTATTTTTTTCTACGATACCGACTATTGGTCTCATTTAGTAAATGTTTGCATCACAATCCTCTAACCTTCCTTCAGATCTTTAGCACCTAATCCTGAGATTTTTCGCTCACTGATTCCATTTGAAAGGCACGTAAAAGTAGAAGCATGCAAGAAGATCCATCAGTCTAAGTCCCCACACTTCCTAAGTCACACAGTAGGAAACAAATGTGGAAACAATAATAAAACTGACAAACGAAAATACAGGTGATAGTCAAAAGTGTTTAGTCAAAGTAATAGAATTTATGTCAATAAGATATAAATACATCCTTGCCACTGTAAACGACTTCCAGTCATTTCAGCAAGACGTTAGAAAGTTTGAGCAAAGAGTATTTTCGATAACTCCCTCGTCTGGCTCTACAGAACTACTGTTACTGCTTATGCTATACCAATATTGACCACCATATAAGTGCTATTCAAAATCCGAAACTAAGTTTGCACACATACTTAGTATTAACACCTAGTATCAAATTAGAGTGTACAATAATGTCTTATCATCCAGCTCACTGACAGCGTTTCACAAGTGATGAATACATTTAGCTCAACATTTAAAACTAGGTGGCTACGTCGGAAACTACCTAAAGACTAATTTTACACACTATATATATATATATATATATATATATATATATATATATATATATATATATATATAGTGTATTAATTAACCATTGGTGGGGCTAATAGGCAATACCTGAAACACCAGTGACTGAAATATAGCTGAAAATAAAGTGAATAGGTGTTCGAAACGTTATGTTGCCTTCCAAAGCATTTGCTTCGATTCTACTACTGACCCAGCTCTACCCATCGCACATAACTAGCCAACCATCTCAGTTACCAAGAAGGAAAATCATTGCAAATCACTTGCTATTTTTCTCTCTCTTCTTTGTCATTTGTGTTTTGCCTAAGTGACTTAGTAAGTGTAATTTTCTGAATTTTCAGTTGGCTGTTTAAATCATACTTGGGACAAAATAAAACTGGTTTTGCTGATGTAAGCTGATTACAGTCGGCGAATATGTCCAAACTTTGAATGAAAAATTAGGTGCATGGTGAGGTGATATCATAAGTTCAACAAAAAATCCTGCACTGTTATTCGCCCGTTAGAAAAATGCAACTGAAATGATATAGCACCATATATACACAATGTTATTTGTTGCTAGGGTCTAGTATTCAATAAGTATTTTACGGAAAAAACAACAAGCCTATTTATACCTTACAGCCCCTGTAACAGCTTGAAAAAGACTGAATATACCTAAATATATTTTCAAAATGAATGCGAATCGCGAAAAGTGAACGGACTTACATTTGAACACCATTCAAAAATATTATACAGCCAGAGTGATCCAAGACTGACTAATCCAGCTGCCAAACCCAACAAGAAAACGTGACGTTTATATGTAAAACCTGAGGTTTAACATAAAAAATTCGGTAGGTATATGAGAGACAAAAATATTTGTAAGCGATTAGAGGCAGATAAAAGTTCCGATCAAACATCAGTAAAATTCAAAATCTTCCAACCAATCAAAAAATCCCTACAAAACCAATACTTGAAAATTAATCTGATGCTCACTGCAGACTGGCCCTATTCAGACAGTTAACCTGGGGTTCTAGTAGGGAACCGTGACCCGTAGAGTACAGCAGGTTGAAGGTGAGGCAGTAACTCATCGAAGACATTGTGGAGTGGTCGTACTATGTTATGAATTGGAAGAATTTAGAATTCATGAACTGGCTATTGGATCGGGTTTCAGTGGCTTAGTAGTCCAAGAGCCTGCTAGCTTTGTAACCAGAAGGTCCTGGTATCGACGCCCTGGCCATGGGCGCCTGCTGTGAAGAGTCCCAAAGTGGGACGAGACAGTTGTCCAGTACTCCCAGGTTTTCGAATGGTTCTGTAATTGATTTCAGCTCATGATAAAGTCCTCCAACAAATTCAAACGTGACTAGATTTACTTCATTCGTGAGGTAGTTGCTATTATTGTTACGACCGTGTTACTTGAATAAAGTGACCGAGATAAGTTTTCTACACTCTGAAGAGCGACCTCTGTAAATAGACCGAACCTAGTACCGGTCATTATCTACTTTTATTGTATACTAGTGACTATTGACAAATTCAAAATAATAATTACAACGAGTTCGATATGCCTGAATGGTACGAAAGACAGATGCCAAGGAAATCCGAGGCCAAGCTAGAACCCGGATTTTTATAATAAACGAAGATTATGAAACATTTAGTTGTTTCGCTTAAAGCTGCAGAGAGCCCTGTCGGGTCTTCAAATGTCACAAACAATACTACATGACATGGCACACCGCATGATATCAAAATGTATAATTTAAGATGCAATGCTCAAAACGTCAACCAAAAAACTTGATGAAACTTTAGACAAAGACAAACCGAGAACACTGGCCGGAAAAGTGCTAAGAAAATAAAAGTTTTGAAAGATTATTGTCTCGAACAAAGGCAAAAGTCAACATATTGATTTCGTAGATGTTCTAACGTTTTTACTGATTGCTTTTAATTCATTCCTTTCTTAATATTTGTGGAAGAGCCACAGAATCCAGTTGTTTAAAATGAATAATCAAAGCTATCAGATGTGATGTAGTTGTTGTTAAGATGTGGGGTAACAAATACGAAAATAATGTACGACTGGTCGGAAGAAAGGCAACAGCATGAATAAAAGCAGGTAAAGTAGGTGGACAACATTTATTTCAGTATAGAAGTGAACACCTGCAGCGTGGTGAGTGAGAAAATGATACCGGTATTTCGACGATGTTTCGGATTGTATTAAAGCTAATTTCACATATTATACATAAATGTCATAAAAATAGACAAAGCTTACATTCATTGGTATCTGGTCCTAGAAAAATTGGCCTGACAGGGGACCGACTTGGTGCAAAGTAGATAGCAACAGAGGTGTTAATTCCTCCATTATAAAGTTCCACGTATCGGAAGGTTGGCACACCTAAACACTCCCTTTTGACGCTTTCCGAGTGATACAAGCCTAGATGATCCCGTCTCCGCTTATAGAAGTCAGTTTTTGTGGGAGCATATTTTAAGTAATCATAGTAGAGACATTGATTACTATTCCTATATATCCTTTGTGCTGTTGCTATTCTCATATCCAGTGAGTAGTTCACATATGTAGTAGATGGTAATTAATTTGAGAAATTAATATTCTTCTATCTACTGCATATGTGTCAACGGAAAGTAAGACCAAGCACAAAATGTGTTAAACGGACGCCCATTTGAAAGTTTGCTAGTTGAGTAATGACCTTCGAAATAATGAACTGTAACACACCTTCTAGTTTGAAAATTTTTGAAGTGAAGATATCCTGCATACAACGTTATTCTTGTCATCGTGTACTTTGTTTCGCCTCCGCTACTTTCGAAGTGATTAGCTATGAGCGTAGACACCACTTTATCTTGGAATCAATTCATCATGACGTATGCGTGTAGTGTCCACTCATTCAGGATAGATTACACAGGAAACAATGCTTATTAGCAAAAGATTAATGCATGCTCGAATCCTTCCCTTCCCAGTGCAAAATACGAATATGAATCAGTGACTCCAAATAAGAACTAGTACTTTTCTGCATTAAAATTTCTCGACAGTAATTTTCGTTTCTTTGTCTTTCTTTTTGTCTAAAAAGAGTTGAAGTCATCACATTCCAGTTTGACTCATGCTTTCATTATACCTTATTATTTCGTTGTTTGGGTCGCATAAATAATGCCTATCGCACGATAAAAGTGCCACATAGTGATGGCGGTAGATACACTTCAACTACTCACAGATTTCGGCAATAATAAGCTTTGTCTGAAAGGCGGTAGACCATGTATCTGAAATCATTTCTGCGAGTGCTGATTCACTTCGGCCAATGTGTTGCGTCTTTCCTCGGTCTCAGTGCACTGAGACTTAGATTTCCAGTGAGATATGCACTTGGATATTCCACAAGTCTTCAACAGTGCTCTGACCGCCTCGCATCCTTCCTAAATCACATACTTGTTGCTTACCACTCAGAAATCCATATGAATTTCGGCCATCTCATCGCATAATAATATGGAGTGTCTTTCTTGCGTACAATGATTTAAAGCTTCTCTTGCCGAAATAAAGTCTGTTTGGCATAGCTTATTCTGCTCCAAGTTGTGTTAAGAAATTGTAAGTCACCGACAGGCTTCTCTTAATATCATTTAGCTGCCTAGACCATGAATTACTAAGATTCACCATCTAGATTTCATCACGCTTTAGACTGACTCACAGAGAAAGAGTTTTCATCCCTTGAAAGCAGTTTATCTAATTGGATCCCGGATTACACATATGCACAATAATTCCACCTTAGTTACTAAGACTCTGGTACAGTTTTATTAATGAGGTCTTTGTATAACCACATACATAGTTGAAGAAGGTCAATTTCTTCAAACTAATTGTCTCTGGAACAGGGTAAAAATCGAGCTCGAGAGCCACAACACTACCTCTTCCTAAGATATTAACTAAGGGTGAATTAATTGCATCGAGGCTTAGTTGACCAGATCTAACCGTGGCACTGCAGACGATCAAAGTAGTTCGTCTGTAAGGTTTCCTAAACACAATACGCTACGGCTGTCAGTGTAGTTGAAGATTGAACGATCATTTCATGGTTGTTTGCTCAAAACCAACTTCTCTATATTTTCGCGGAGACATCAATACACCAGTCATCGTCTCGTCGGTCGCTGTTCGGAAAGAACGTAGAAAAACCATCAGAAGTAATATTGTGATTTATTATTGTAGTATTTGTTCATAGACTTCAGTTTATTATGCTGCTTATATGTTGGTGTTAGAATAAATAATTCTCGAGTCACCAACCGGTGTTCTGGTTTTTGCGTCCGTTAGTACTAAGCGTTTCTGAAAGGCTTCGAGGGACAGCGAGAGGCCCGGCATAGCAAGAGCTGGGCATTAATTTTTAATTTTTTTTTAATTTTTAATTTTTGATTTACAGCTTGATTCCACACTGTATTTTTGGTACAAGTATGGAATTTTCAGCATGGATATCGGTAGCCCAAATTTTGCAGGCCGACCATAGATATCAGGAGTGCGCCGGCGTGGGCTCGAACCCTGGACCATGTGCATGGTCGGCGAGAGTCCTAACCACTGTGCCACCGACGCACGGTTTTTGACAATGGCTACCTGTACGTAGTATGTGATTGAGGAACTCGGAAAAATGAAACGAGTAACTAAATAGGGACTAAGTCTTGTTTACGATTTGCGAAGCTTCCTTTTTATATTAAATGGTGATTGCCATTTCCGTGCATTTGAATAGGTTTCCGCCTGATATGCACCATGTTGTGCTTTCGGAAGTAAAGATTTAGATAAACCCAGCTTTCTGTGATATCAAAGGCTGTGTGATTTCAATCCGAATAGTTATTTTGATAGAAAAGTCTACTTCTAAACGTCCTTTCAAATAAACCTCTTCCATTCCGCTTTCAGCAGTCAGTTTATTTATTTATGCTGACCGGGTTGGATTGAGGACAGTACGGTTATCAAGGAACAGAATAGAGGCTGTATGTCGTAGTATGATTGTCAGCCAAGTCTCATAAACCGTTAATGCCCAGCTCTCGCTACGCTCGGGCCCACGCTGTTCTTAGAAGATTTCTCAGAAACGCTTAGTTATAACGGACGCAAAAACCAAAACACCGATCTGCCGTTTGATATTTCTGTATTGTTACACCAACATATAAAAGGAATAAACGAACTAAGCAAACTAAGGTCTGAAAACAAATATTACAATAATAAATCTCTGTATTACTTCTGACGATGTTTCAATCTTCTTTCTGAACAGCGACCGATGAGACGATGACTGTCGTATTGATGCTTCCGCGAAAATTGGGGAAGTTGATTTTGAGCAAACAACCAAGAATTGATCGTTCAATCTTCAACTCCATTGACACTCCCCGGCAAAAAAGGGATCCAACCCTTTTTTCCTTCACGACCAATGCACGTTGACTTGGATGCCATTGCGAGAACCTGGGTCACACGGACAGAGCTGAAATGGAAAACAAACAGAAAAGCCAACACACCACAAGCATACCCACAGCACAATCTCACACATCAATGACGACCTGCGCCTCCAGACAGAGACCTCCTCTTGACATCTTGCAACACAATCGCCATTTGCTAGAATGACTCTTGCAGAATGCAAAGTGACCATGGCAGCACCTCACGATACTCTACGCACATCCTCTTAATTACTCACTACCAATTACCATTGAAATCGCTTGTCACTCATTCTGCCTCAGTTCTAGTAGCGGTGACGCATGCGAGCCTCAGTCGTTTACACTCTTTCTCCCCGGCGTGTCGGACCGCAGCTAACAATTATCTCCGTGTGCATTTCATTCTCAGCAATAGCCTAGCCTCCCCGGCGTATACGACCCATCTGCTGTCTCTAACATCAATCAATTCATTCATGGATGTAGAAGACTCGAAACAACTTCAGAAGTAATCACGACGAAAATTTTAACAAAATTACGCAATAACAACAAGATACGAAAACAAAGTAAACACAATGAATCCAAAAACACCAATTGATAGAACACACCACACGTATATACAAACAGTACAAACAACCTCGCCGATCATGTCTTGATGGAATTCCTTTGAAGAATTGCAGGACTTACACCAGTACGCCTACAACCCTTCACAGGTTGACGATTGTAAGTTGTGGAATGTCCAGACACAAACAAGATTAACCAACAATTACATCAATTGGAACTCACACAACTATTTAACACAAACATATGTACAATCAACACATCAAATGTTGTGGATTCTGACACGACAAACTACCCTTGAAGAACTGTAGGACTTACAGCAGTACGCCTACATTCCTTCTCAGGTTGATGATCCAAGTGGAAGTCGTCCGGACACAAACAGAATTACCAACAGCTAGATGACAGATGATATCAATTCAGTATATACAATATGAACATATGTACAAAATCACACACCAAGCACATTGGACTGCTCATTGATGCGCTACCCTTTGAAGAATTGTAGGACTTACAGCAGTACGCCTACAACCCTTCTCAGGTTGACGCCCTAGGTTGGAAAATCGTCGCAGAGTTCATTTGCTAACTTCCTTCTATCAGCTATATCCTCAAATCTGAACGGCAACACGCCCATGTCATTGTATCGTAGAATATAGATGACCAACAAACACACGACATATCTCATCAACCAAGTATAGAAACAGAGTAATTTACACCAAAGATAATAACATTCAAATAGTAACTTGAAACTAGAAATGCCTTTATTCGTGCAAGTCAATTTAACAATTACTCTCTCCTTTACACTTGGCTTATCCTCACTAAACTGACCATTGATATTCGTCCTTTCAAACGAACTGATACTATCATAGTCATTGCACAAGATACTTGAGTTGATGGGTGTCTGTTTCATTGTGGATGACAGCACCAACGACGACTGATTGATATCAGTTGATGAAGTTAGCGGTGGATCAAAAGCTGTTGTTGCTCGGCTTTCAGAAATTTGTCTACCTGCAAGACCACCACCACTGCTGTCTTTTACTATCAGCTCAGGTTTAGCACTAGCATCTGATGATAGGTGGGCTACACGCTGATCAATTACACTGACTGTCTCACAAGTATGCACACCTTCTGGAACTGCATCTGCGTTCAATTCTACTTCACGTTGTAGTTGTACAGAACCTTTATTTAACTTAGCAGTAGTAGGCATATCCCTCATCTCATAATGATCAACCAAAGACAAATCTGCACTATCATGATCATTATCACAAATATTCAATTTACCGTCAAGTTCATCATTTTCAAACTCTTTAATAACAGAAGTAGACAATTTTGGTTCCTCCTCACAAATCATTAAAGGTTTTATATCTTCACTCTGACTAGTTATACTTTGTAAACTTTGGAGTCAGAACTGCACTCTGAAGCAGTAACTCTATTCTGTGACACTCTATTCAACAACGGCTTACCAGTTGCAACTACAGACTTCTTCACCGCACCGTTATCGTCACACAATTCGGAGTCAGGCCTGGAGTTTACATTTAGCTTATCACTGAACTTGCTCACTGGTTCACAGTTCACTTCTGTATGCACCTCTTGCAAACGT